AGAAAACCCAAATGCAAATTTTGGAAAAACGCGCACGTGAAGAGCGACGCGTCCAGAAGAAGGCCAAAGCGGGCAACGACGAAGCCATACTGCGACAGCCGGCAGAGTATCAAAAGATCGAGTTGGATGCCGTTGCTAGCTCCCTACTGGAAGCTGGCCTGTACGATGATAAGCCACTGATATTCTTTGGTAAAGATACATACACCAAACAGATCATATCCAATCCGTCGGAGGTGCACAAGATTATCAAAAGTTTTCAGAACTATCGCGACATCATTGAGGGCATGGAGAACGAAGGCCACGAGCATATCGAGGCGGACCTAGCCAGCTTTGGGTAAGCTAGTTGCTCGACCTCAATTCAAACATTCACTAACCTGAAGTGCATTTAGGTTAAACACACCCAAACTGGCAACTGCATCGCAGCTCTTAGACCCTTTTGAGACGATTGAACCCTATATTGAGGAATCCAATAAATCAGTTGCTCCAGAAGAAAGCCAGCCCAAGGTTAATGCCGTAACAGCGAAGTCCAAGAAACGGTTTGTCCCACAACATCTTACGTAATCTTTCAATCAATTAAATTTTATCATTTTTATCAACAGCTTCAAGTCGAAGGTGCACATCACGGAAGAACAGGAGCGTCAGGCCAAGCAACGTGCCCTGATCATTAACTTAACCACGTATCTGAATGTTTGCGTCTCGGCCAACATGCTGAACCGTGCTCTCTCTACAATCTTCGCTTATCGCAGTCGCGCCAAGAAGAGTAACCAGAGCAAACCTGGCATGAACCTAATTACCATTGATCTGTACAACATTTTGTTGCATGGTTATGCGGGCAAGGGTTCCTTTGATCGTTGCCAGGAGTTATGCAAGCTCATTAATGAGGATGGTCTGGCGTTTAGCGAACAAACGTATGCGGCATTATTTGAGTGCCTGGGTCGAGTGGAGCCAAATGCTCAAAATCAAGAATTTATTGAGCAGTACATAGCACAGGCAGAACAGCAGGGCTTCAGCTTAAATCAGATAATGGATCGATCCAAATTTATATCGGATCAGCGTGACATAGCGCTGGATGCTATCAGGAGAGTCCGTCCGAGCTTTACTCCTGTTTATGTGCCACCCCAGCTTGGCTACGATAACGAGCTGCTCAATGATCTCAACGCTCAGGTGCAGCCCGTGGGTGAGGAAAGAGCATATGAAGCACAAGAGGAATCCATCATCATGCGGTCAAAGCGTGGCTATACAAAAACTCAACTGGAGCAGCTGGCGCGCGAGCAACTGCAGGTGGAGTTGGACGGGTGCATAACTATCAAATCAATTGAAAAGACTAAGGAATTTGCTAATGCTGAATATTGCGTAAGTTGGTAAATATTAATTATTATTGAATATACATTAATTATTTTAATTCATGCAGCGCGCAAAGCTAAATGAGCTGGAGCAGATCTGGCGCAAACAAATCTCTGCTGCGATTGTTCGTGATCTCAACACGTTGCGTGCTCAGGTGCGTTTCAAGCCGCACGGCTATATGAACTACTATACGTACCTAAAGGTCCTTGACACACATCACTACGCGGACATACTTATCAAGGAGCTGTACAAACTAGCCGAGGGCTCTGAAACCTTTAGCCCAACGGTGGGTCAACTATTCAAGGAGCTCGGACAGAAGGTGCAGCAATGCTATCAAATCGAATTGAAGAAACACAATGGAACCCTCGAGAAGATTGGAGAGATTTACAGCGATTATTGCGATTTATGGGCTAGTGGACATACGGAGGATAATACGCGACAGATGTGGCAGCGTTTAGTGCACGAACAGCGTCACAGTGGACCGTCGATGGATTTGCCCGAGGTGCCGTGGCCTAACAACGTACTCTCCGGTGTGGGTCGTTTCCTCTACAATATACTGATGCGCGACATTAAGATCGATGCACATATCATGCGTCAGAGGAGCAACAAATCGAAGGCAACCGGGACGACAATGCCACAGAATATGCTGCCTGCTTTCTATACGCTGTTCCGTAATCAGGGTCGGCTCGTTAAAGAGGAGGTGAAGCCGCATCCAGTACTGTCACGTCTTCTGCGCGCCTCTCGCCAACAGACACTCACCTTCGACTCGAATCTGGTGCCCATGCTGTGTCCACCGCAGCCCTGGAGTACCCCCCACAATGGTGGCTATTTGCTGAACAAGTCGGAGTTGATACGACTGCCACATCAGGCTGTGCAACAGTGGGAGCGCATACATGCCTCCAATCCGCAGCATCTCTATCCAGCGCTCGATTCACTCAATCAGTTGGCTAGCGTGCCGTGGCGTGTCAACACACAGCTTCTCGATGTGATCATTAAGGTCTTTCAGAATGGCGGCGATGCCAAGCTGGATGTGCCGCAGCCACCGAGCTCATTGCCGCCGCTGCCCACATTGCCAGTGGGCGAAGATGGCAGTGGTGTCTCCCCGGCGGACCGTGCCAAACAATTCCGCGATAAACTAGGTCATCGACGAAAACAAGCCGAAATGTACAGCTTGTGGTGTGATGCTCTCTACCGCTTGTCGCTGGCACAGCATGTAAATAACTTCTCCCTCTTTTGTCTTCATCCATATTCAAATTCTCATTCCTTTCTCTTTTATAGTACCGAGACAAGGTATTCTGGTTGCCACACAATATGGACTTCCGCGGGCGTGTTTATCCTGTACCGCCACATCTGAATCATTTGGGCTCGGATCTGGCACGTTCGATGCTCATCTTTGATCAAGCCCAGCCGTTGGGCGTGGATGGTTTTAGCTGGCTAAAGCTGCACTGCATTAATTTGACGGGCATTAAGAAGCGTGACTCAGTGCGCGAGCGTCTGCTCTATGCTGAAGAAATAATGCCTGACATTTTAGACTCGGCCGATAATCCACTCACGGGTCGCATGTGGTGGTCCAAGTCGGATGAGCCATGGCAAACTCTCGCCTGTTGCATGGAAATCGCCAATGTATATCGTTCACCGGATCCTGCTGCGTATATGAGTCGCTTTCCCATACATCAAGACGGGTCTTGCAATGGGCTGCAGCATTACGCAGCGCTAGGTCGTGATCAGGCGGGTGCATGCAGTGTTAACTTAGCCCCATCGCCAATACCACAGGATGTGTACAGTTCTGTGGCAGCTCTCGTCGAGCGCACAAGGAAAACAGATGCGGAAAACGGATTGCATGTTGCACAAGCGCTGGAAGGTTTCGTGCGGCGCAAAGTCATCAAGCAGACGGTGATGACGACTGTGTACGGCGTAACACGCTACGGTGCACGGCTGCAAATAGCCCGTCAGCTAAAGGACATTGATGACTTTCCCAAGGATTGGGTGTGGCCCGCCTCCACTTATCTGACCACAAAGACCTTTGAGAGTCTGCGCGAAATGTTCACCTCAACGCGTGAGATTCAAGACTGGTTCACGGAGTGCGCGCGCCTCATAGCGGGTGTCTGTAGCCAGAATGTGGAGTGGGTGACACCTCTGGGTCTGCCCGTCGTACAGCCCTACAATCGTCAGGAGATGAAGCACCCACAATCCAAAGGTTTGCGCGTGAATGCCCACATGTCGATGGATATGTACGAACGACCCAATATTCTAAAGCAAAAGAACGCCTTTCCGCCCAACTTTATTCATTCGCTGGACTCGTCGCACATGATGCTCACCTCGCTGCATTGCGAGCGAAAGGGTATTACCTTCGTCTCCGTGCATGATTGCTTTTGGACACATGCGTGCACCGTGCCGGAGCTGAATCGGATCTGCCGTGAGCAATTTGTGGCTCTCCACTCGCAGCCAATTCTCGAGCAGCTGTCGGAGTTTATGAAGAAAACCTACAGCTTCAGCAATGCGTAAGTAATTTTGAGTTTGAAATCATACTGAATATAAATATATGTATATTCCTTTGCAGTGAGTTGACAAACGATGGCTCTGTGGAGGATTTGTCTAAGCGGCAATTAAATCGTATTCTTCGTCAGCTTCCACAGAAAGGTGACTTCGATCTGCGCAATGTTTTGGACTCGGTATATTTCTTCAGCTAGTTCGACTAACTAAAACAATGGTGCCTAACTACTATTAATTTAGTCATTTACTTTAAGTCCTATGTTTTGTTAAATTTGTCCAACAATTCGAAAGCTTTTAATACCAAAAGAGAATAACAAACAGATAAATTACTTAAAACAAAGACCAGTCAGTGCAGTAAATGTGATTTTGTAAGAGTTTACAGACAAAGCAAATACCTAATATTATAATATACTAAATTATATTAAATGCCTATTTATGTATTTACGACAATTGGTATTGAATTAAGGCATCGCAAAAATTGAGGCTTAAGCTAAATAAATTAGAGCTTTTCAATAAATTGTTATAAAACATTTAAAACAAGTGTATTCTATTTTTCTACTAGTTAATATTTAATTGGCTCAACTGTAAATCACTCAAAATTGCTATCAAAGTTTTTTGTCAATGACTATGAAGTGCTCAACTGTTGACTCAGCTGTTAACTATGCTCATTTAACAGCGCTGTTAACCAACGCCACTTTGGCTCAGTTGTAACACGCTCTCTCACTCTCACTCGGCAAAATTTTGAGCGCCACCCCATGTCCACTTTTCCTTTTCTGTTTTGCACGGGGCTGCTGCTGCTGCTTCTGCTTCTGCTAACTGTTGTTGTTGCGCTCGCTGCTGCCGGCGACCGGCGCAGCGTCGGCATTTTCTTCGTTGCTTCGTGCCGTTCGTGTGCGATTTGCGCTGCCTGCTGTTCGCAGCTAGCTGCTGGCAGCTCTGCTCTGCTCTGCTTTGCTCTGCTCTAGTCTTGTCAGTGGTCTCAGTTTTAAAAGTTCATGCGGCGCGTTAAGAACGTAACGGTTTTTACGCAGCGGTCAGCGGTCAGCAACTAGCGTTAATTCGCAATTTAAACAGTGTTAACATTCAGCAAACGCATTTTTATTGTTATTTGCATTTTTGTGTCTCTGTTTTCGTGTTTTCTTTCACATGTTATAACTTTATAACAAATTTGTTGTTTTGTTCATACTTCGTACGAAGGCATGCGGCAGCTGCTGCTGTTGTTGCTGTGTGGAAGCGACATTAAGAAGGTAAAAAAAAAAAAAAAAAAAAAAAAAAAAATACCAGCTGCTAAACTTTTTTATCGCATATCTCACAGATACGCATTGCCCGCTATTACGGCTACTGCTGCTGCGTCTGCGGCCGCTTTAGCACTGGCAAAGTGCAGTGCAAATAAATTTCAGCAAATTCGAAATTCGAAAATAACAGCGAAAAAATGCAAAAACGAAAAAAGGGAAAATAAAATGACAATTGTTTATTTTTCCTTTATATTCTGTTTGTACTGCATTTCGTTGTATCTTTGTCATTGTCGCGCTTTTAGTTTAGCTTCTGCGTGTTTGTGCATTTATTGTGCACAATTTGCGCTCATAAATGCATTAAAATAAATGTACATTTTGTATTCTTATCAGCGACTTGCTGCTATCACTAGCTTCGTATCATACGCCGCGTATCATATTACAATTAATTCAATTATAAACCATGCGCCATGCAAATTACGCTACAGCAGCCAAGCCAAGTTCGCAGTAGCCGCAAGAGAAGTATCTAAATGTCTCCCAAGTGTGCGACTCGCTGATTGTGTGTGGGTGGGCGGGGGTTGTGGATGTGTGTGGTGTAGGCAAGTTTGATAAAAACCACATGCACCTCATACAATGTGTTCGTAATTGGGGCAATGTCTGTTGTCGTTTATCTTCAACGAGGCATGCAGCAAAGACAGTTACTCCTTATCCCTCTCTCTCACTCTTTCTTGCGCTATCTGTCTCTTTCAGTTCGACAAGTAACCACACTTTAATGCATTAACATTTGATTGAATGCTCAAATTGTTTCATTGACGCTTTTTGGCCACTGATTCAATTACCATGACGCACAACCCGGCGTATACGTAATATGAGTGTTTGGTCTGCGCGTCTGACAAAAGGTTTACATTTGAAAGCGCTTAACTCCCTATTACAATCGGTTTTTCTCTTCTCATTTTAAATTTATTGTTTTTTACTATATATCATTTGGAGCTTGTCACACGAAACACTCAAAATAAACAATTGAAAGCTTCACTCGTTACAGTTGCTACTGTAAAATGGACAGTAATAGAGATTAGCGCAAAGTGACGCTGTGAGCCTAAAAAGGATTACCTTATCTAAATAATGTAGCAAATATAAAAGTACACTGAAAAAACTTGAAATATATTTCAACTCTTTCATTTTGTGAATAGAGTTTATAAGTTTTTTGCTATAGGCTTAAAATTTGACTTATATAATCGTGGACCCAACCTAGAACCGCAAACGAATTGTACATAGTGATCTACGCCCATTGGGAGCGTGTCAAATTGAGTTAAAGTGTGTCATCTGCGAATTTAGAACTAATTGTCGAAAGATTGGAATGTAAGTTACTATTCGGGTTCGCAACAGATTAACCATATTTATTATCCACACTTAACAAGAAAAATTCTTTTTAAATCAAGCTTTAAGGCTTTAGCTCAAAAGTCGTATACTTACATAAACCGGGAAGCTTCTTTTTATAAACTACATTCAACTATATAGATCAAATTATTGGTCAAATTATTGGAGAATCTTTGTTCCATTATTACTATTAACTATCGGTTAATAATAATAATAATAATAATAATAATAATAATAATAATAATAATAATAATAATAATAATAATAATAATAATAATAATAATATATAATAATAAAATGATATTAATATAACATAATAATAATAAATATAAAATTTGCCTAAAAGAAATAAAAATAATTTAAAATTCAAATTTATTTTTTTGTAAAACCAATCCACTTTATTTTAAATCGAATAATAACCCAAACTTGTTTGAAATATTTTATAGCTCATGAAATTTCGAACCGGAAACCCACTTTTTTTATTGCTTTTCTAAAATTTTGATGAAGCATCATGTCGCAATTGACAACAAATTGCGTAGCATTAAAGGCCTAATATAAAAGCTATAAAACGGAATGTCTAAGATTAAGAGAAATTCCACGTGGGCAAGAACAAAACGAAATACTCTAGCCAAATATGCAAAAGACATTTTTCTGACGCACTTTTGATAAGTGGTCGTTATAAAGATTAATGCCCGAATTGCCTGACGAAATTATGAGACCTTCAAACGAATTCAGACTCCGTTTTGGTTCCGATTTGATATGCCGAGAAATTGCATTGATTTAGGTTTTATTCAGCATTTGCTTTCGACTTTTGCTTCATTTGGACATTTTCTGCTTCTGCTGTTGTCCGGCGTAATTTATGAATGCGAATTAATGAGCCTTTGGCATGCTGAAAGGCATTTTGCCCGGGGGCATAGGGCATAGGGCTTGGGGTCTAGGGATGCGGGCAAGCACTTGGCTTTTGCCGCTTGAACTTGGCCGTGACAGCCTTCAAGCACTTTGTTTGGCTAAATTGCGATGGTGTCCGCTTAGGGTGCCATTATTGTGTCCATTTCCGTTCACAGATTTCCGGTGATTATTTCTCCAGTCAATGTCCACTTGATGTGCCGTCGTTGACTTATTGAATTAGAAGCGAAATGATCCTGCACAGGCACGCGCAGCGCTTAATTAGAGACAGGTAGGCAGTCAGGCATTCAGGTAGTCAGGCAGCTGTTCCACTTACCCTAATTGAAATTCATTTTGGGCCACATGTACTGCACTCAATCAAGCGGGGTGTGTAGGGCATGTGGGGTGCGGGCGGTGTTGTCATAGCCTAAAGTCAAAAATTTCAACTGACATGAAGCTATTTATGAAATTTGCCGCTGTTATTGCTGCCATGTATCGATTCAAGTTGCGACACAGTGCCAAATACTGCGGAGAGAGGTTCGAGGCGCAGTGGGAACGAAAAGGAAGGGCTATCAAACAATGCGCCATATGATACACAAACACTCAAACTCTCTCACACACACGTACGCACACACTCATAGAGAGATAAATTCGTGTGGCAGCCTAGGTATTGAAAAACCCAAAATCCGTACCCAAAAAAAAAAAAATATATATACAGCAGAAGCGACTCTAATGCAAAGCCACATGGTAAAGTCAAACTAGCGGAAATCGTTGAAAATAAATAATAATGGACATGTAATAAATTGATCGACGGGGTAATGCCCTGGAAGACTTCTGAAGATTGTCCTGGTCCATTGTAAATTTATTGACCAGTTCGAAAAGAGCAAAACTGGCGTAAATGTTAGTCTATAAATAATGGCCAAATTCTATGTAATCGACTATGAAATACCCTAGATAGCCTTTAAATTTTCTCCAGTCTACCATCTGCAAACACTAAATAGCGTAGTTTATGTTATTTTAATGACACCAAATTCGATTTATTTTTCTAAAAATCTATTATTATTATTATTTTCTTTTTAATGTATTAAATATAAACTAGTTTTAGTATATTCATTAACAAATATTCAACTATGTATAGATTTATTTTATTTTTCTTTATTTTATTTTGGTTTTTTCTATAACATAAAAAAATGTATATTTCTTTTAAAACTATTTTTTAATTTCTTAATTCTTATATAGTACATTTATTTTGCTTGAAATAATTTATATTTAATATAAATAAATTAAATGATTTTGTACAAAAGTTTTGGGGTTTTCCTTTAATAAAAAATACAAAGTCAAGCTAAAATACCAGCAAACATTTGCATACCCATTATTGCATATGCCCGCTAATTTCGTCGCTCTGCAGGGTATATAATAAATAAGTTTGCAAACAAACGGAAATACAAAAACAAAAAAAGAAACAACACACAAATACAAAAAGAGAGTCAAACGTAAAGAATTGTAACAAGTTGAACGCGCTGGCTGAGCATTAATAGGTTTTTGACTTGTTATAAAAACGTTCGCCCCTCGCAAACCACGCGCCCCTCTTCGAGCCGACCCTCTTCGCCAGAGACAAAGCATGTCAGAACAAGCGCGAAAAGCTTGGGAAACTACCAATGCGAATGAGTTGTCTTTTGGGCAGACAGATATAAAAAATACAAAAAAATAAAAAACAAAATGAAAAACGAACTGAATGAAATCTTCCCCAACTTCGAGTCGTAGCAATTTGCTAGACAATGATTTGCCAGAGTGTTTTTTCTACTCTCTAGTTGATGTTGCTGTGGTTGCACCATAGAGGGGGTGTGTGGCGGGTGTACGACGACACGTAACTTTATTTTGACTTCAAGTTGGTCATGAATTTCTTTTCTTATTTTGACCATCTCTCGATTAGGTTTGTGCTGCGTATTGTAGTCTAATTGGCTCGTTGACTCCGAACTGTGGCTAATACGCTTGGCTACTGGCTTTACGTAATTGCCACACGATGGGAAAATAATGCGATTTCATATATACATATGTATACACATACATATATATTTATAACGTTATATATATATAATATATTATATTATACATATTGTTGTTACCTGTGCTAACAACTTCCACCTGGCATTTTATTCTCCATTATTATCAGGCTCTTTTTCATTCCTCTCGTGTACGGACATAAAAATAACTTTATATACATACATATGCATTATACACATTCCATATACATATATACTTTGTACGGCTGAGTACTTTGCGATATACCAGATACAAACAATTCCGTCCAACAATCTGCTAGATAGTGCAGAACATCGCGTTTAATTAAAAGCAATCATATGATATCGGTTTAATTGCTTATTAATCAAGTAAGGGATGTAATTTCCGAATTGTAATGAATTAAATTTAAATTAAATAAAAAAATAAAGTATATATTTAAGAATTTAAATACACTTCTGTCATTTTCTTAATTGATACAAAGACGACAGGTAATTCAAAGTTAATGAATATTGCATTGCGCTCTGATTTAAGCCCTTTGAGCAATTTAACATTTTGGCACCAATTAAAAACTCTCCTGAAGTGGAAACTTCAGGATACGGTTGACTTTTAAAATAGGTAATTTTCGAGTGCCACTCTCTCACCTTCTCTCTCCTCATTCTTTCTCTATTTCACTGTACTCTCTCTCTCTCTCTCTCTTCTCTTTCTATCTCTCAGTCTTCCGTGCCTTTCCC